TCGTCAGCGCAAGCCAGGATGGACGGCGCCCCCCATCGTCAGCGCCAGGATGGACGGCGCCCCCCCATCGTCAGCGCCAGGATGGACGGCGCCCCCCCATCGTCAGCGCCAGGATGGACGGCGCCCCCCCCCCCATCGTGGATGGACGGCGCCATCGTCAGCGCCAGGATGGACGGCGCCCCCCCATCGTCAGCGCCAGGATGGACGCGCCCCCCCATCGTCAGCGCCAGGATGGACGGCGCCCCCCATCGTCAGCGCCAGGATGGACGGCGCCCCCCATCGTCAGCGCCAGATGGACGGCGCCCCCCCCATCGTCAGCGCCAGGATGGACGGGCGCCCCCCCATCGTCAGCGCCAGGATGGACGGCCCCCCATCGTCAGCGCCAGGATGGACGGCGCCCCCCATCGTCAGCGCCAGGATGGACGGCGCCCCCCATCGTCAGCGCCAGGATGGACGGCGCCCCCCCATCGTCAGCGCCAGGATGGACGGCGCCCCCCCATCGTCAGCGCCAGGATGGACGGCGCCCCCCATCGTCAGCGCCAGGATGGACGGCGCCCCCCATCGTCAGCGCCAGGATGGACGGCGCCCCCCCATCGTCAGCGCCAGGATGGACGGCGCCCCCCCATCGTCAGCGCCAGGATGGACGGCGCCCCCCATCGTCAGCGCCAGTGGGATGGCAGAAACAGTGCCCCAAAGACTGAATAAAAAGGCATACAAAAGGGCCGTATTCTGAAGACCACTGCCCCGGAAGCTGGAAATCACTGTAGCAGACACCAGTACTCCAGTGATCTCCACTAGCTTCCAGGTCCTATGCTGGGCAGCTGCCCTGATGCATTGTGAACACGAAATTGGCCACTCAGCATGGCCATCAGTCAGAGAGTGCTTTGCATTTTCTCATTGAAGGAAAAGCATTCTCTGATTGGACAAGGTGGAGAGGTGGGATGGTGATGTCACTCTCCTTTGTGTCCAGTCAGAGAAGGATTTGCATTAACTGAGAAAATGTGAAGCATTCTCTGACTGCTGGCCATGCCGGGTGGCCAACCTCTTGTGTTCACAATGCACCAGGGCAGCTGCCCAGCACAGGACCTGGAAGCTAGTGGAGATCACTGGAGTAGTGGTGCCTGCTACAGTGATTTCCAGCTTCTAGATGGATCCTACAGGTATGACGTGTAAATGGACATTGGTCCAAGCTGCTAGAGCATGTAAAAAATGCCATAACTAGAGTTGCTCTTCAAGTGGGCAGGGAATGAACAGATGGCAGGAGATGAAGAGATTGAAGATTGAAGATGCAGATCGCTAGATCAGGTGCAACAGGCAAACGTAATGCCATTTTATTTATACCCATCTACATCTAGTGTAGAGATCAGCGGTTTCTGGAATTGTCCGTTAACGTGTTCCGATCACGCACACACAGCTAGGTGCACTCATTTTGTAGACCAATTTAATTTGAAATATTTGCTACCATTTGGACAATTGAATGTACACTTTCACATCAATTTAGTTATAAAAAAAATTTGTTTGCCCTCCAAAAAAAAAGTGTGTTTTTGGCCCAACCCTGAAGAAACTTTGCACAGTTTAGTGGTACAAGTATGATGATACAAGCCGAAGCCACCAAGGGCTTCCAACTGCTCTGACTGACTACCCCGAGATCCGTAGTCTCACAACAGCTGGAACCCCGAGGTTGTACGGCCTACTATTGGCAGTCATTGCTGGGGATACAAGATGCTGCAACTTGACTAAGCTAACAGCAGGAATATACAGCATCATGTATTAAAGCTTCTGACAGATACGTCTGCTGACCCCTGCAGAGCTCACCATGATAGATCTGTCCTACAAATCATAAAATGCGGCCATTAGGGTCATCAACCTCTTTCAGACGCTTTAATAAATGAGGCCCCTTACTATTAATAAATCTACACATTGACAAAACAGGATATGGACAAAATGGTGATTAAATGGTGGTTTTTTTTGCCTTCCTCTGGATCAACTGTGGGTGTAGCGTTATAACTTTTTTTTTTTTTTTTAATAGTTGAATTGGATGGACTTTTGTCTTTTTTCAGCCAGACTAACTACAGTATGTAAATAGTGTTTGTGGTACATAAAGCGTACTTTCAGTTCTCAAATGTATCACCAATTTGTACGTACCATGTCAGCAGTTCCGCAAGAAAAGTATTCTTAAGGCCTTCTTCACACCGGACGGATCAATGCATACACCCGTACGAGGGCCATGTTTAGCGGCACAGATGCCCCTGTGCAGACAGTTCCATTCATGTCAAAAAGGGACACAGCCGCTGCTTCCAATTTGATATCCGTGCGGGTGAGTGGTCCAGAATGAAGAGCCTGCGTTCGCAGCGATGTAAATTTGGAAGCGGTGTGTGCAGCCGCTGCATCCCAACTGGCATGAATGGGATTGCCTACGAGGGAGGTGCGGGTAAACCCGGCCCTCACGCGGGTGTAAATATAGATACGCCCCATGTGAACAAGGCCCATGTCACACAATCACCTTATTCTAACAGGTTTCTACAGTCTATGAACTTTGCGTTGAGTTGTTCAAGGGCTCGTTGCAGTTATAACAGCTCCTGATTCAGGCAAGGCTCTTTGAACTATAGGTCCATCTTCGGCCCGGGGCAAAGTGAGCAATTCCGCTTTTAAAGTGTAGGGTAGGAGTCTAAAAAGGTGCAGCAGGTGAGGATTCAAGTATCACCAAAAACATAGTAGGATGGTTGTTTGCTTTTAGATAAATGGTGGAAACCAAGATAGGTTGTCCACCATTTATCTTCTGTTGTAGTAAAATTGGTCAACAGCTGAAGACCTGAGATAGTAACTCCCAACCACCAATGCCTTTCCTCAGTTGGAAACTAGGGGGTCGATTTACTAAAGGCAAACAGACTGTGCACTTTGCAAGCTCAGTTGCTCCAGAGCTTCGTAAATGAGGGAAGCTTCTCTTTTGTAAAGAATACCCAATCACATGTAAGGAAAATGTTAAAAAAAAAAAAAAAAAACACACACACAAAACAGCATTGGCTTGCAGATGATTGGATGATGGAAGACTATTCATTTACTAAACTATGGAGCAACACCCTTTGCAAAGTGCACAGGGGTTAGATCAACCCCTATGTTTATACAATATCTTTTCTGTGTGTACACTTTAAACATTGTTGGAAGATATAAACCTTTATTACCTTTGTAATTCTTTTACACTTTATACCTGTAACTCTTGTATATAAAAGTTTTAATATAATAGGACTGAACCAAAATTAGTCAACAGTGAACCAAACCAAAAGCAGGAAATGACAGGCCAGGATGCGATCATGCAATCAGATGGCAGTTAGAAGGGGGGGTCTTGTCCTGGAGGACTATGGGTAAAGGCTACAAGGTCCGGCATTGGAGACCTGCATTACGTCAAGGACTGGCATGCTCTTTTGGGGTTGTGTTAGTAAGAAACGCCCATACTCACTGGTTAGCAATAGAACAAGTAGGCAGGACAGGGTGCAGGAATAAACTGGGGAGTAAGACTGGTTAGCAGGATGGGGATTTTAATATTGAGTCAAGCACTGGTACTAAACCAACTAATACTGACAAAACCAATTAAAAAGCCAAAATCACTGATGGTTGAGTATATATCTATGGGTTTCTCCAGAATAAAATTCAGCTTCTCAACTGCTTCAAACTGTTTTAGCAACAAGGAGGTGTCATTTTGCTAGCAAGGGCAATTTTCCTGGCTCTAGATCAGTGGTTTTTAACCTGTGGGTCGCGACCCCTTTGGGGGTCGAACGACCCTTTCACAGGGGTCGCCTAAGACCATCGGAAAACACATATTTCCGATGTGTAAAGAGCAGCTACTGTGTTGAAAGCAGCTACTGTGTTGAAAGCAGCTACTGTGTTGAAAGCAGCTACTGTGTTGAAAGCAGCTACTGTGTTGAAAGCAGCTACTGTGTTGAAAGCAGCTACTGTGTTGAAAGCAGCTACTGTGTTGAAAGCAGCTACTGTGTTGAAAGCAGCTACTGTGTTGAAAGCAGCTACTGTGTTGAAAGCAGCAGTATTGGAGGTAAAACGACACCATGAATTAGAATTACTGGGTAAATAATTTTATGGTTGGGGTCACCACAACATGAGGAACTGTATTAAGGGTCACGGCATTACGAAGGTTGAGAACCACTGCTCTAGATTAAGGTGTTATGGAAGAAACCATTGCAATGTATACAATGGGATTAAAACCAAAAATGAAGTCAATGTCTCCTGATATGGTGCACAATGGGCCACCTCCGGCTTAAAACCTACAGGAGTCAAAAGCAGCTTTAGGTTTATGCCAGAGAACCTTCTTAGGAGAAAAATCTGTTGCCTTCCAAGTCAAATTGTCATGTGTAAGCCTGCACTGTACACAATTTCCAAAAATTTGGGGGTTTTTTTTGGCAGAACAGATATACTCAGCCAGAGAACGGTTTTTGGTGTACCAGTATTTTGCAAGAACAGTAAAGGAAGTCCAGGTATAGTTAGTCCTGTACTGGGGAGTGCGTACCTGGCATTTGTTAGTATCTAACACAAAACGTCATCAAGCAACCTGCTAGGAAAACAATGGCGTGTGGTGACAGCATGAGACCAAACGGGTATTTTAAACCCGCTTTGGGGGGGTTGGGGGCACATATACCCCGACATTAAAAGAAAAGTGAGCTGCGTGATGTTCAGAAGGTGGGGGGAGGGCAGGGGAGCCTGAAGAGGCAGTTGTACTGAAAGAGGCGGGGGGGTCTGGGGATCAGCCAGAAGAGGCAGTTGTACTGGAAGAGGCGGGAGGGCTGGTGTAGATTTGTTTCTGATGTGCTCCTGCGTGCCGCACCTCCAAGTGATTGGTCTTTTTCCAGCTAGCAAGTGCCTTCAACTCAAACTTTTAACAATCAGACAAGCAAGATAAAAAAAAAAGAGAGACAGGTTAACGTCAATTAAACCAACAACTATCACAGTTGACAGGATTGACCATGGACGTCCATGACACGGCCCCATACCTTGGTTGAGATATGTCAGGGTCTCTTCATGGAGTTTGACAGCAGGGGATGTAGCTGAGCACAAGACATACTGGAATGGGGGCAGCTTTGCATCCGTGTCTGGTGAGATATGCGGCTCTTCTTGCTTAAAAATTGGTAGAGCAAGGACGTCACTGAAAAATGCAAAACAAAGAGCTGTAAGTATGCAGTTCCACTGAATTCACAGAAGGTTAATGCCACAATATGGCCAACATTCCAAAAGTGAGCAATTTACAAAAGATGAACTACAACTAGATAGACAACCAGTGTTGTCAATGAAGGTCATTTTATCTTATTGCCTATAGTTTTCTATTAACCAGAGAAGGGGTCTCCAAAGTGTGGCCCAAGGGTCACGTGTGGCCCTTTGTTTGCCTCTATCCGTCCCTAAGGACACACTCCCACTGACACCATTCCACTATTCCCACTGACACCAAAATTATTCCTCCCGCCGGGGCACTATTTCAATGATGGGGCTCCCACTGACACGAAAGATGGGGCACTATTCCCCTACTGACACCAAAGATGGGGCATTATTCCTCCCACTGACACCAAAGTTGGGGCACTATTCCCCTACTGACACCAAAGATGGGGCATTATTCCTCCCGCCGACAACAATGGGGCACGATTCCCCTTCTGACACCAATGATGGGGCACTATTCGTCCCACTGACAACGATAGGGCACTATTGCTTCCCAGTGACACCAATTAAAGGGCATTATTCCTCCATCTAAATACCAAAGATGGGGCACTACTTCTCCCACTGAACCCAACGATGGGGCACGAATAATTCCCCTAATACCAAAGATTGGACATTGTTACTCCTACTGATACCAGGATATTTTCTACTCCCAATGATCATGATCCAGCCCCTCTAAAGTCTTTGGCAGACTAAACTTCTAAACTGGCCCCTTGTCTAGAAAGTTTGGAGACCCATGAACTATAGGAATGCACTCAATGTAAGTGTAAGGGAAAGAGGCCTTGCTGACTAAAAATATAATCAAATACCAAAATTATATTTTCCAACAAAGCCACTGTCCCATATTATGTTCCTGATTAGGATGGAGTAGAGAAGCTGGGCCACTATCAGCTTGGGGATCTCTGCAGATAGATCTGTAGCTGTAAAGCCACCCACTCACTGTTACAGCGTTGTGAAGGACCACAGTCTGCGGTGGTTCCTGGGCTCTCTCTTTGCCCTGGGGAGCCCAGGAGTCTGGTAAGCAGCTGGGACAGCTTTCCTCAGAGGAGATGGAGAACATTTGTTCCCAGATCTCCTCTGATGAATGAACCTGGAGGAGACTAGAATTTTGTAACTTCCAGGTTCAGAGCCGTCATTCTCTGGCTGTGCTCAATTTTCGGCTTTGGGGGGGGGGGGGGCATGGGAGACATTGGGGGTCTATTATTATTATACAGGATTTATGGTGCCAACCGTTTGCTCAGCGCTTTACAATAGGACGGGAAACAATACAGCAACAATACAGTTCAATACAAGAGGGTTAGGAGGGCCTGATCCTGGGAGCTTACAATCTAGGAGGGAGGGGCTAGTGGTACAAAAAGGTAGTAACTGTGGGGGATGGACTGGTAGGAGGAGTAGAAGATTCCATTATTAGCTGAGGGCAGGATAGGCTTCCCTGAAGAGATCGGTTTTCAGAGATTGCATAAAAGTGGGCAGAGTAGGCAATAGTCTGATAAATTGGGGTAGAGAATTCCAGAGGATGGGAGAAGCTCTGGAGAAGTCCTGGAGACTAGCATGGGAGGAGGAGACAAGGGAGCTAGAGAGCAGGAGGTTGTGGGAGGAGTGGAGAGGACGGTTTGGGTGATATTTGGAGACAAGATTGGTGATGTAATTTGGGGCAGAGTTATAAATGGCTTTATATGTTATTGTTAATGTTTTGAATTTTATCCGTTGGGCAATGGGAAGCCAGTGGAGGGATTGGCAGAGAGGGATGGAGGACACTGAGTGGGGGCCAGTGGAGGGATTGGCAGAGAGGGGTGGAGGACACTGAGTGTAGGCCAGTGGAGGATTGGCAGAGAGGGGTGGAGGACACTGAGTGGAGGCCAGTGGAGGGATTGGCAGAAAGGGGTGGAGGACACTGAGTGGAGGCCAGTGAAGGGATTGGCAGAGAGGGGTGGAGGGACACTGAGTGGAGACCAGTGGAGGGATTGGCAGAGAGGGGTGGAGGGCACTGAGTGGAGACCAGTGGAGGGATTGGCAGAGAGGGATGGAGGACACTGAGTGGGACCAGTGGAGGGATTGGAAGAGAGGGGTGGAGGGACACTGAGTGGAGGCCAGTGGAGGGATTGGCAGAGAGGGGTGGAGGGACACTGAGTGGAGACCAGTGGAGGGATTGGCAGAGAGAGGGGTGGAGGGCACTGAGTGGAGGGAATGGCAGAGAGGGGGGAAGGCACTGAGTGGAGGCCAGTGGAGGGATTGGCAGAGAGGGGTGGAAGGACACTGAGTGGAGGCCAGTGGAGGGATTGGCAGAGGGGATGGAGGACACCGAGTGGAGGCCAGTGGAGGGATTGGCAGAGAGGGGTGACAGATACAGAACAGTTAGTAAGGTGGATGGGTCTGGCAGCAGCATTCATGATAGACTGAAGAGGGGATAGTCTGCAATGAGGTCGGCCAATGAGGAGGAAGTTTCAATAGTCAAGGCGAGAGATAACAAGGGAGTGAGAATAAGTTGCTTAGTGGTTTACGAGGTTAAGAATGGCCGTATCTTGGAGATGGATACTCCGGTTTCCTCCCACACCCCAAAGACCTGCTGGTAGGTTAATTGGATCCTATATAAAATTGTCCCTAGTATGTGTATGAATGTGGTTAGGGACCTTAGATTGTACGCTTCTCGGGGGCGGGGACTGATGTGAATGTACAATATATATCCCCTAGATTGTAAGCTCCAAGGATTAGGGCCCCCCTATCCCTCCTGCATTGAACTGTATGGTCTCCCTTTATATTGTAAAGCGCTGAGCAAACTATTGGCGCCATATATCCTGAATAATAATAATATATGTAAAAGTTCTGTGTCAATTGATGGCACTTTATAAGTACCTGAAATAAATAAGATGCTGACGCGGGACTCCGACCATTAAAGGGGAGGCAAGTATAATGCCTTTAGCTACGCTTTAAGAAAAAAATATAGATCCTACATATGCAAATATGCCTGGTACCATGTTGAGAAAAGCGATATGATTTTTCTTTAAATATCAACACCTTATAACAAAAAAAAAAGTATGAACATCTAGAACATGGAAACTGTAAAGTTCACGCTGACCAGCTGGGCAAAAAGTTTAGTGAACTGTTCCAGGAAGATTATTCCTCCACAGAATCATTTCTCAGAGAATACATTCTTGGACCACCCTTCGAGAAGACTTGGCGCTCAGCAAAACGGACGTCACTACACCCCCAAGCTCTACCAAAATTTAATTTTGCTGCTATAGTGATGAAGAATTTTGCTCAGCAGGCAATGGCCAAGCACAGCCACTAATCCACTTTACTATGCCTATGGTGTGCCTCGAGGCAATGTTACAAATGTAATCTCCCAGCTGGAGCCCAATCTCTAAAAATCCATATTTAGTAAAAACGGGTGGGGGGGGGGGGGGGTGTTGAGTTGCCAAGGCCAGCCTTGCTCACAGAAAAAGTTGACTTTCTGCATAGCTGGAGTAATTCAGAACATGGTGAAGATTGATGTTGGATGGCTGGATGCCATTTAAACACGTTCAGCAAAATGTGACCACTCCTGTCAGGATAGATCTGGTTCAAACAAGAGCTGGAGAGTGAAATAAGCATTACCCAGCATGCAACGGGGGCGGAGCAACTCCTTGACTTTGTGATGTAATCACCAATATTTCATCGGATAATGCGAGAAAATCCAAATGTTCAGCTTGGTGACCAAACCGAGCTCAAAACAGCTGCTACAACATTAGAATACAATGAAATACTTCTTAAAAGGGCATTTCAAATCTGATCGATCGTTTTGAAAAAAAAAAAAAAAACAAAACAATAGTAATAAATGATTCATCTAAAACCCCAGAGGCTACAACTGTTTGCAATTTATGACTACAGAAACGTGGCATTGGAGTGTCCCCCAGGAAGACGTTTGGACGTAAAGAATTTGCTTCCCAGTCATAAAAAAAAAAAAAAAAAAAAAAAAAAAAAAAAAAAAAAAAAAAAAAAAAAAAAAAAAAAAAAAAAAAAAAAAAAAAAAAAAAAAAAAAAAAAAAAAAAAAAAAAAAAAAAAAAAAAAAAAAAAAAAAAAAAAAAAAAAAAAAAAAAAAAAAAAAAAAAAAAAAAAAAAAAAAAAAAAAAAAAAAAAAAAAAAAAAAAAAAAAAAAAAAAAAAAAAAAAAAAAAAAAAAAAAAAAAAAAAAAAAAAAAAAAAAAAAAAAAAAAAAAAAAAAAAAAAAAAAAAAAAAAAAAAAAAAAAAAAAAAAAAAAAAAAAAAAAAAAAAAAAAAAAAAAAAAAAAAAAAAAAAAAAAAAAAAAAAAAAAAAAAAAAAAAAAAAAAAAAAAAAAAAAAAAAAAAAAAAAAAAAAAAAAAAAAAAAAAAAAAAAAAAAAAAAAAAAAAAAAAAAAAAAAAAAAAAAAAAAAAAAAAAAAAAAAAAAAAAAAAAAAAAAAAAAAAAAAAAAAAAAAAAAAAAAAAAAAAAAAAAAAAAAAAAAAAAAAAAAAAAAAAAAAAAAAAAAAAAAAAAAAAAAAAAAAAAAAAAAAAAAAAAAAAAAAAAAAAAAAAAAAAAAAAAAAAAAAAAAAAAAAAAAAAAAAAAAAAAAAAAAAAAAAAAAAAAAAAAAAAAAAAAAAAAAAAAAAAAAAAAAAAAAAAAAAAAAAAAAAAAAAAAACAAATACATACATACAATACACATACATACAAAACATAAAACAAAATACAAAACATACAAAAAAACAAAAACATACAAACATATATACATACATAAATATCACACTGCAGCTGATAAACTCACGTTTAGTAGCTGTTCAGCGTTTTT